TATCATCAGTGGGCCTCATTGCTCCTGAAGGCAAAAGGATTAAATCAGAGATTAATTTTGTTCTGTGTATCATCTTCCTCATCTGTACAATGGAGACAACATGGCTATGGTTGAGAGAGACAGCTTAGGCTTCCTCAAAACAACAACAAAAATTAAATTCCAGTCTCTTAAATTTTTGTCAGTTATATTTGCAGTATAGTTGCGAGATTGTTAAAAAACCCAATTCATTTTAACTAACAAAAAAGTAATCATGGCAAAGATCTTCAGTGGATGTACCGACAGACAGCAGACATGTTTCCCTAATCCAGACTCAGTAATCGGCAAAAAGATTTGAGAGACAGGAAAAAGATTAGTTTGGATGTGAATGAGAGAATGGCAGGAATTTAAGATTTGACAGTTCAAGAAAATTTCTTGGAACATTCACAAAAATGCAAATCAGGTGGAAATCCACTATTTTCCTCATCTACTCTACCAGAATGATGCTTAGACGATGAGCAAAGATCATCTCGTGGTAAAATCTTACATCACAGCATGCAGAGAAAAAACCCAGTCTTTGTGGTGACACTGACTGTGCACCATTTCCAACACTGCTGTGTCAAAGCTGAACTTGGAGAAAAATGACATCTATAGGAGTTGAGAAGCTCACCTTATTATGAAGGGGTTTATCACCTCTCATGGTCTGTGCGCACACTTCTCCTCACCTTAAAGGACTTTATAAATTTGCCTAACAAATGTGTTGCTTGTTAAAAGCCTTAAAATCTCTTTCACTAAACATTTCTTAGATAAACAGCTTAAATTATCATTAAACGGTAATTTTACATGATATGTTAAAATGATTGATCAGCAACAGAAAATATATTAACATGCCCTTAGTGCACACTCCCTACACCTCCCTTGCACTGGTGGCACTCACCTGTCCTTTCACTGAGCCAACTCAGTCAACTAAGGCAGAGCAGCAGATAACCACAGCAAAGGCATGTGCAGGGTTGACGAGGCATCGCAGTCAATGAACGCGGAGGGACGGGCCGTGCAGCTGGGGCTGTGCCAGCTGCACTGAGCGCCAATGCCCATTTCAGCAGCAACAAGGCAGCCCCATCCCAGCACAGCAGTGCTTCGGTAGAAGACAGACAGGTATGCACACCCCATCCTCTTTCCTTGCAGTGACTACACTTTGTAGCGATCGTAGGACTTATTAGCCTGCTAAGGAAAAAAGCTACCGAGAGCTCTTTTTATATAGCCTTGACATGCATAAAATCATCAGCAAGATACCTTACTAAGTCAATACTAAGACAAAAAAATCAAAGCACCTTTGACACGCATCATTCGTTCGTCTGCCTGCTTACATAGACGTGAACGTATACTGCCATCTGCAGGAAGCTCCTCTAATTACCTCTGTCAGTCATCAACTCCCAGCACAACGCTTAATTACACGCTATCATGCAAGCACACGTTCCAACGTACAGCCCCACTATTGCTGACACCAGCTACTTTTCTTCATTTCCTTGGCAAATTCTAGGATTTTGGGGGGAACGATTCTTCAAAGTTTCAGAAGACAATTCATTCTAATCGATACGTCAAAACGTACTTACTTTTGCAGCATCATATGCCACATGCTAGCATCGTTGAAGTTACTGTGCTTCAAGGTCTCAGTTATATTATGGAGCCTAATTAGTAAAAATGTATCCAAAGTACTGTTTTTACTCTTTCTCTGCTTTTATCTACTGGGTATGACGCATTACATGTGCCTGTGCAGGAACTGTACTTTTCCTCACACATTAACTATTTAAAGCGTAGACAATTTCTGCTTGCAGAGGAAACTCAGAATGCATGCTTCCTTTTATGTAGAAATCTTCTTTTCCAAATAACTGAATTATCTGAGAACACTGTTAGAGAATACTACAGAATACTTCAGCATTATCTGTTTCATGACATGAATCATTCCTGTATACTTAACAACTCCTCCATAATTAGTAAATTAAAATATTTAAAAATTGTTCAGACTATGTACTGGTTTAAAAGATATTAATACATGTGTACTGGTCTAAAATATATGAATAATAACATTAAATTAAATTATCTTTGTAAAATAAACATCTGAAAGCCACAGCGATGTAAATTCTTAATCATGAAGAACAATCACTGTTTGCGGTTAAAAAGCACGAGACCACTAGGAATGGCTCCTGAAGAGGTCAAAGCAGTCTTTCATTTTCAAAAGGACACATTTCTAGCTTCTAACTACTTAAATAAACATTTTGCAAGTTCAGAGATAACAAGATCTTTTATTATTACATTCATATTCCGCTTTACGTAGTCTGATTTTCAGATATCAGCACAAAATGAGTCAGCTTTGTTATTAACAACAATTCAAATGAACAATATATATTCAGAAAATTCATTAAGTAATTTATACAACTTCTAAAATTAATTTTAACAAAAAAATCTGTTGCTTAAAATTTACAACACAAGTGGAAACAGCACAGCAAGAATAAAGTCAACTACATTATTTAAGCAATTATCATGGACAAAAGTATTCTTAAGTCCTGTGATTGATAAGGCAGTCAGAACAAGCCATTAACTTACTAAAACTGGATAAATATTACCACTATGAAAACGGACACAAAACAACAATTATGAATCTTTATCAAACACTCAAATAACAACATTATAATAGAAGGACAACAAAGCCAATGAGTAATTTTGATAAATTCAAATACACTTGATTTCTCAGTGACTGCTACAAACATAGGCTACAAAACTGAGTAAGGTTTCTATTACCGAAGTGGTAATTCCTGTTCATATATTTGATTGAGCTGATTGATTAAGGTCTCAATGAGGCCTTTTAGTGTAGAGTGGTCTGTATCTTCTAAATTGGATAATTTACTCCTGTAAGACACCAAGTACCTCATGCCAATACTGTCATCCTTATCTCCTTGCCATGTACATGGAGATACTTAAGACATTGCGTGACAGTTAAAGCTCCTAAGCACACCATTGTTTTGGGTCTTATTAACAGCAGAACAGTTGCCACATTTAAAAAGTTATTCTAGTAGAACAGGCATGTAGACATGTTATCAAGTATAAGATTTATAGGATAAAGCTGTTCACTTAATATACTAACTGGAAAAAACTAAGCTTTCATTTTTAAGAGACTTTTCAAAGTAACAAAAGTTAAAATTTCCAGTATTTAGATATCAAACTGCAGTTCATCTGGAATGCACAGCACACAGCAGAATTTACTGCCCCTGACCACATCAGCATAACTAGCAAACATAGCTTGCTCAACATGCAAAACCAAACAAATTTATACTGGCAGAGTTCTGTATTATACTTATAATGAAGTTAAACATAGATGTTAATCTTGAAATTAGGATAAGGGTTTGGCATTTTATTTAAAATTACTTACTTGTTACATGACTTGATATTATTAAAACTGGTTAGTAATACTAGTGCTTATTTATAACGAAACATAACATAACATAAGAATAGCAGCATTAAAGATGAGTATGTTAGAAGTATTTAAGATTTTATGAACAGGCTTCCAAGTATTAATTATAAATGACAAAAAAAATGAGCAAAGAGTGCATAAACGGCAATTGTGATCATTGTATCTAATCATAAAAATCAATAGTACTTACTGTAATTACTCTAACTATATTATTAATTAAGCAGTAAAACCAGTAGTTCTTATAACCTAAAAAAAGTTAGAGAATAGTATTTGACAGTTAAAATTTCTGATTCTTAAATGTACTATTAACATGAACTTTCCTAAATAATACAATGTGCTTTATTGAAGACACAATTAAAATCAAAGTCATGGGTGTGTTTTTGATCTAGTGCTAAATGTATGATCATAATCTTACATGGAAAGCCTTCTTGCCAGAAGGCTGTTTAAAGGGGAAGGATGGGGGAAGAAAACAGCTACCACCTGCACTCAAAAAATAATCAGCTTAAGGCGATAGAAAGTTATGCATTCCCAGAAAGGGGTGGTCCTGCACACTCTTCTAACACCAGCACACACTGCTGCTGCTTCATTTTTGTCAGCTCTAACGATCATGCAGCTCTCTGTCTGTCCAGATAACTCATCTGACCAAAACTAAGACAAAAGATTAGTTTTTAATTAGATCTGCATGCTGATCCAACTCACCCTACAGCCGTATGGTTGCTAGAGCTGAAACAGAGAGAAGAAAGAAAATTATGCCCGGGACATAGGGAAAAAAGGACAGGCAGCATCATCCAGCTGTGAAACCATACCCAAAGCCTGCAGGAACTCTAACAACAAGCCAAAAAGTAAGGCATCTGCTTCTGCCACTATTTTCCATGCTGATGTAAAACTAAAGGAACTCTTCTGAAGATAATGACATTGTACCCATTGAAAACCACTGGGAAAAGAGAATGGAGCTAATAACATTAAATAATTACTAGAAGTATGGGGCATAAAACCCTGCACTTTTTTAGCACAAAATTGTATTTTAGCATTGTGAATTCTATTAGAAACGAAAGCGTTTGCAGAAAACAGATCTAGTAAATGTTTCTTGCATTAAAAAATCATTGCCTTTCATGTGCTAACCTCAGGAAAGTACAAATAGACTGAAGTTCATGCAGCTCAATTCTATAGAGCTACTGAGGAATAAATTTGCTTCAGATCAGTATGCAATTCTGTGAGTAAATCTGGAAGAAAAATGAAATGTGAGGTGAAACAAACCTATCTACTTTTTCATAAAGTACTCTGAAATTAACTAATTTTTTCTTCATTCTGTTATTACAGGTATGTAATAAAACAGGTATGAAAATAATGAACAGGTTCCCTATAACTTTTACACTTTGGCAATGTTATTTAGGTTACACAGTAGAAATTGCAACTAGAAGAAAAACGAGCACAGAAGGGCTTCAAGAGCTTTCAACCAGTGTTTTTTCTAGCCTTCTAACTGGACATAGTTACACACTTTGAACCGGTGAGTTACAACCAGTGAAAACAAGGAAGACCAGAGTCTGTTCGTGCGTTATTTGTCCATCATGTTGAGAATCATTTCACAAGTCATTTCTGTTTTCTGTTCTCTCGGAGTTGCTGTTTCTATTCCATCTAAAACAGGAACAATCTCACTGGCACAATGTTCATTTTTCACAGTGGAGACATCTTGGAACGATTCCAGGTCAACTTTGCAAAAAAAATTAAACATTGTGGTGATTAACCAGAAAGACAAGTAAGTATTTCAATAAATTTAATGAATAGGCAATTTACTTTAGTAGAGAAAATACTGCCAATATCTTTTATAGTTTATTTGGAGAATAAATATATTTTATGTTGGATATTACATTACAAGCCATGTTAGTAAGTAGTACCCATGGTATTCTTATCAGAGGAAAACTAATCATTATTTAACTGGAAATTTAATTCTCATATACATGCATTTTATTTTTTAATTATTAGTAACAGCAAATCCTTGACAGCACCAGTCACACAAGTAATCTTCTGTAAAGCCACATAGAGGATCCCACAGGTCCCTGCAAGTTGTGCAAGAAGTGAACAGTGACATATACTGGCAAACATCAACTTTGGGAAAAAATCTTCTGGAACCAGCACAGAAATTTCTAATATCTGTGTGAGTCAATTAATGGACTGATTATTTGCATGAACAACATCTAAAGACATATTATCTTAGCTCTAGAAAATCAAGCTTCCATATGAAGGGATCTGCAAGATACTGAAAAGAAATTGTTTGCACATAGCAAAACATTAATAAACAGCAAAATCTAATTATTGCAAAAACATAAACACTGCAACTGTAACGTTTCTCTCCAACCATACCATTACAGCCTTACCAGTGAAAACAGAAGTGTCAATGCTAATGTAAACTCAGCTGCTGATATATATTCATTAGATTCAGAAAAGCTTCAACATTTCTTCTTCGCACTATGTCAAATTTTATCGCAGTGTCATTAGCCACAAACCAGTGTAGATATAATCTGATATACCAAAATTCAAGGTTTTAGGACACCTAGGCCTTAGATGTATCTCTATTCTTGTCTCTTACTCTGTAAAAGTTACCTGAAGAATCCTACCAAGGAGACTACTATGGCTTTCACACAGCATCTGGGAAGCAGAGAGACAAAAAATGACAAGACGTTCTGGTCAGGCAAAGCTATTTTTTTGGCCCTGGTGGCCCTGAAGGTGACCTCAGAAACATACGGCCAGCTCTCACCCTGCAACAGTGCAGAGATTCAGCATTAGATCAAACAGACAAGGGGAAGGCAGGATGCATAAGGATACAGGGTTCCTGCCCATGGCCTGACCTAACTGAGTATTGTGTATTGCGCTTTGTCTAATTCAACAGAAATGCACATAAATGAAATTATGAGCAGACACCTCTCCTGGGTCAAATTTAGACTGTAAGGTGAAACTGCTACAATATTACTACATATGCCGTAACAGGCTAAGGTTTATTTGAGAGAATAAAAAAAAATACTTCATATGTTTTTAGAGTTGCAAAGAAGATAAAACATAAATGATTATATCAGGAACGTACTAGCATACCCCAGATAGAAAAGGCACTGCACTTATTGCTGTGGAGTTCTTGCTGACAAGACATCAACTGACCAACTAGTCTACCATTTTGGTCTGCCAAAACCTGAACTTACTCACTTTCTGGGAATCTTAACCTAATGAGAAAAGATGAGGAAGCAGAAGAAAGAGAAAGAAAGAGATTTAACTACGGACCATCTTTGGTCAACTTCAACTTATACTGAAGTTTACAGAATAAATGCTCAGCGCTCAAGAGCTATCCACAATGAGTAACCCTAAGTAATTACAAGTGAGTTTCTGATCGCACAGACATGCTGAACCAAGAGCTCTATAAACTGGCCTGATCACCTCTACAGTACAACAGAAGAATGACTCTAGCTATTTACATCAGTAGCATTTTTATTATTATTTGATCACTATCTGGTCTGAGTATGAGAGAAAGAAGATGAACAATTTCTTTATTAAGATGTGCTAGATCTTTTGTGATTAACATGCAATCTGAGTTCTGAAATTGAAAAGTTTTCAATCTGGTCTGTATTAAAGCACTGTATTATAAATCATGAGCTCTTAAGAAAACTCACTATGGCTGAACTCAGTAATGATGTGTTTCATCCTCCTTTATAAAGGCAAAGGGAATTTGTTAAAGGGAAAAGAAAAATGCATTTGTAAGCATTGCTAAGCAGGGAGTTTAGGAAGACATTTGCAGGAACAGGGGAATAGAAGTCCCAGAACGGGTACCTGAGCAATGAGCCAACTCAGATGACAAGAATTTCTGACACACAATAAAGACTATTCTGAAGTATTCTTCCATTATTAGCACTTAAATTAGCTTCATTGTGAAACAGTAATTAAACAGCAGGGGAGATTCACTGCCTTAGCCTTCTATTCTTGATTCTAATTTACATGATTAAATTCTAACTTATTCGCTGATTACCTTCTTGCTTAACACGCTTTGGGTTCTCATGGGTTTTATTTTTGCCCTTGCTTCTTTTTCTGGGTGTAGCAGTTTTTGCCCTCACCAATCCACAATTTTCAGCATGCTTATGCATATTATTCTGTTAGCATAATGAAGCACAAATATATGAATCAAATATTAATGTATGCAAGCACTTTAACACACACACACAAAAACCAAATATGGTTCTGACAGACAATTTTGGAACACTAAGTGAAAGGCTGACTTAGTTAACAACCTCCATAAAACTCCTGAAGATTTTCCAGAATACATATTAAAATTCTGCTTTAAAGGAACATTGCCATTTGGTGGGTATAAAATCAAATTTATCATTTTCTGGTTCCTGGATAAGCAATAAAGTTTTACATGCAAAATCTGTATATGGAAAAAAGGTTACATTTACTTTAGAAGTGTGCACCAGAGATATGTTCTCACTGCGTATGATTTTGACGATGTGAATAATAATTTCTTACTTTCCTTGCTGAAGTGGTCCCAGCACTCTTTCACCTCAATTATCCTTCCAAATTCTTTAATTTGTCTTAGAATTCATACATCCACACTGCCTTTTTATTTGTTCTAAGACTACTGTATTAAACATTAGTAACTTCAATACTGGATTGTACAAACTGGTACCAACCCTGAAAATATGATGTGGCAGATACTTTCTGCCTAAAGGGGAATGCTATAAAGTTCTTTATTAATCCCACCATGTAATGTTTGGGAAAGAAAACAAACAAGTTGTGCTGGCTTAGCATTAAGGAGTTAACATTCCAGCCAGTACACTGCTTTTTACTCTCAGTCCTTTGTGACAATATGATCTGCAATACTTAGCTAAAGATAACTCCACTGAGATTCCTTAAAAGGAAGTATCTTACCCAGAGTGAATAGCCCTTACCACATTTAGGGCATTCATAAACTGTAGGCTTAATATTAGAATCATGGTGCTTCCTAAAATGAAGAGTGAGAAGCTGCTTCCGTCGAAAGCTTTTACTGCAGCACAAGCAAGTGAAGGGCTTCTCACCAGTATGGGTTCGTTTATGTACAATTAAGCGTCGCTCCTGAAACAAAGAAAATATCTGTAACATAACTATCCAGCTCTGTGACACGCTCAAAAAAACACACAGGCACACAGAAAAGTGCAAGGATGTTGCACAGGCTTCTTAATTATCCTCCACTGTAAGCAGATGCTGAGGAACACATTGGGATATTGCCCACTGACTTGGAAAAGGTCAGAGCTTTTCCTCCTAACCTTATTAAGGTTAGCAGAGAAAATAATCAGAATGGAGCAATGGTACATTCCAACATATCAAGGCCAAAGCAATGCTATCCTAAGTGTATTCTTTAAAATAAAATTTTCAGTTCAGACTGAATTTATTCTGTGACGCTGCTGAAAATCACATTTAATGCGCAAATATTATATTTTGTTCTCATCACAGTGTCACTGAAAGCGATTGCTCTTACTTTATACTTCTAAGCAGTTCATGTAGAAAAGATTTATCAAGAAGATAGCCTCAGACTTTCCAGCATTTCAATTTTACTGTTTATTTGTGAACCATTTATCTGGCAAATAAATATAACTACACTATTTTAGTTAGATGGCAGTAACAAAAGTTTTTATCTTCTTAAGGTAAATATAACCCCAAAGCCAACCCTATCTTGCCAAACGATCAATTGAATAAGCAATAATTTTTCAGTGAATTTAAATACCTGCTTACATGCGTAGCTGCACTGATCACATTTGAATCTTTTTTCATTTCTATGAGTCTTCTTGTGCTGAATAAGAGCATAGCGTTCATGAAAATCAGCTTCACAGTAACTGCATTTAATTGCCACTGCCATGTAGGAATGCAGATTTCGCAAGTGGACACCTGAACAGTTATTAAAAGCAATTAATTTTAATGGTAAATTTTTTATTTACACCATTTTGAACAAGAGTTTGACTGTGCATAGCCCTGAGTAATGCATACGTTGTAGAGGAAAACACAAAAAAGAACTTTGTGTTCTCTGCAGTAGGGGTAAAATTGACAAACAGGCAATTTTTCAAATTAGATTAAGATAACTAAAGTTGCAGCAAGATGTTGTAACTTTCCAGAGAAATTAAGCAGTTACAAGCCTATATCTTACTGATTTCAATGGAAATCATTTAATAAATCAAATCCTTTCAAAAATTCCAGTAACTGCCTGCTTTTATCTATACACAAAAATTCATTTGAAAATGCTACCCAAAGTAGTATTTACAATATTAAAATGAAAAGTGCAAAAATACATGAACAAAGAAATTGTTCTACGCTTCTACTTTCAAATACTTAATAGACTTCAATGGTATCTTTATTTGAAAATATAAATAGATGCTAAAGGCATCTTTGCATGTCTAAGTATTTCTGGAAACCTAAAATTTTATATAGGTTTTGTTGGTATTGGTCAGCTATATTGCTTCAAATACAGTAAATATGCTGTATTTCTAATATACTGATTTATTAATAAACTCTCATCTGTATAAAAACATTTTCTTCCTAGAAAAGAAGATGAATTTACACATGAAATGTATAATGAAAAATTCCGTTATCTGCATATAGAATGAAGATGAACTTACGCAGTGGTTTGTTCTTTGCATTCTGGGAAAAGACCCCAAGAAGCTAAGAGACATTTGAGTTTATTGTATCACCTTCAATGTTTCATGAGTATTATACACCCAGAAAATAATCTTTGATATTGATGTAATAGAATTTAGAATTCTAAGAGTTTTGAATCCTTGAAGCATAGTAAAACCATTATCTGCTGGACTGATGAAGTCAAACTTAAAAGTTAACTTGCACTTTACTGGCAAATGCAATTACATGTATTTCTTTACATTACAAGGACAATGCGCTCAGCAACTAAACACGCAGTACAATTTTAGATTAAGAGATAAAAGCTGATTTGGTATATGCAAAAAAACATGTATATTAGAACATTCAATCTATTTTAGTTTCTCATATAGCTAGACGCATATAGACATTTTAACTAGAGCTGAGAAAGAAACAGAATGTGAGAACTGAAATGGCTTTATACAGATCTGACTATTTTCTGTGGCTTTGATAAAAAACTTTTAAATAGAACCTGGACATAGGTTTTTGTGAGGTACCTTCTTACTGAAAAACAGAAGGTCACAATGCCACAGGTATCGAGCAGAAAAAAAAAGCTAAATGTTTGCTACTTTGCATTTTAAACAAATTAAAACATCAACCACAAGATGTCACCACATCTCCTTGCAGGAGGAACTTACCTGTAAAACAATGAATATACTTTCCATAGAAATATTCTGTAATGATATAAAGCCATATATAACATATTTGGTATCATTGTAAGCAATGAAAATTAGAGACTTCACCTCTAATTATCTCTACGTTTCATTTTCAGTTTTGCCCTTTAAACTCACCCAAGTCACTTCTTCGTGCAATAAAGGTACTACAATGTGGACACTGGTACTTTGGCACACTTTCTCCATGCTTCTGTAACATATGGATTTTCATGGTACCACTTTGAGTGAATTTGGTCTGGCAAACATAACACTCATAGGGTTTTTCACCTATAAAAAACATATTAAAATAACATACACTTAGAAACTCTCTCTACTCATTTGATACAAATGCAAAATTCCCACAGATCTCAACATCCAAGTTCTAGCAACAACAGTCTCCAGACCAACCAAAATGTTACTATTAGTTGACAATGCACCTAAAAAAGTTTACACAGCCGATTACAATGCAAAATCTTGGTTTCCAGAAGCTGCGAGTCAAACTGATGAAGCGTAAAGCCATTAATATAATTCTGAACTATTAATCAGGAATTATTTTAATTAAATTTTATTTTGTCTTGAATATTTCACATACAAAAATGCAGAATTATCAAATGTGCAAAGGGAGAAAGTGAACAGCTGTAACAACATCATGATAAAAATGATTCAACACCAGCCATTGGTAATAGCGGAAGAGAAAGTAAATTCTTTTTTTGCCATTCTGCCCCAAAAAGTCACATCAGGTGCGAGTATCATCAAAAATTACATCAACACTGGCAATTAGTGCAGTGCAATAAGAGCAGAGAGAAACAGCTAGTGCTGAGGACCCAACGTGCACACAGATTTTGAACCAGCTCCAGTCTGGTTCTGTGGACTAAGTCCCTACCAGTACTGGATAGCACTGTTGGACTCTTCTGGTTGACGCTCATTAAAAAAGAACTGAGTTTAATTGCACCAAACTGCCTTGAGATATGAACCAAAGCACGGTAAGTGGGGATATTTGGAAAATTTGATTCAAACCACATTCTCACACTCTGATTCAAACTAAAACACTAATCGTAACATATATTACATATCATAACTGAGCTAAGTTAAACCCTGAAGTATATGATAGATACTAACTGCCTTCTCAGAAGGCATGCATGTTACAGAGCCATGATTGGAACACATTGCTTTCAATGTTAAAACAATTTAAATCTTTGCTGACCAAATTAGTTACTAGCAATCTGGGGCCACAACGATGTCCATGTTTTGAACAGACATTTTAAACTCCCCCATCAGACACATCTCCATATAAAATTAACTAATTGAGAAATAAAAGTGACAACTTGATCCACAGAAAACACCACCACATAAATGAAATATTTTTCTAATATAAAAAATAGTTCAGGAGGAACAGCAAGACCGCAATTACTAGCACTGTACAGCTAGACTTCCAATACCCAAATCCAGAAAATTTAAAGAGAACATGTTATTCAGGCATGTATTTACTCAAAATCACAAATGAAAAAAGTGCTAATTTTAGAGTCTGAAATTAGATCATTCTAACCCTATGAATGTTAAGGGCCTAAGGACATAGACTTGATCATTACATCAGAGTCCTACCTGAATGAGTTATCATGTGCCTTTTCAGTTTATATGCATCTTTGCTAGCATAACTGCAAAGGTCACAGGCATAAGGACGCTCTCCTGTATGTGAGCGAATATGTCGTTTCATTTTGCTTGCCTAGTATAAAAATAAGAAATTTTCTGCAGTAACATTTACATTAGAGACATAATCAATTAAAATATAAGCAATTTTACAAAATACATCTATTGCAATTTTAAATATTGCATCAATCCCAGAATTAGCGCTCTCCTGCCCTCCTCCCCGCCCCTTTTTCCCTGTACAATCAGCCTGTTGTGGTTTTAGGTAACATTTCTGTACTCTTTCCCCAGATGATCTTACTTCCATATTTAGTGCCAACATAAACAGAAGGAGAAATTTTGTAAGAAAAACATAAAAGCTAGAATTTTTAAATCAGCTGAAGGGGATACCTACTACCTTCAGGCTACTTGGATACGCCAAACATAAAATTCCCTGAAAATACTCGGGAAAATAAGTGAAAGACCAAACTCATTAACCAAAGTCTTTATTCATCTTCAAATCCCAATGAAGCACTTTCATTGCAGAAGTTTAACTCATTCTACTTTTTTATACTGTTCTTGTGATATGTTCTACATAAATATTGTAGGTATGCAAGCAAAAATTAGGAATTACCTAATGTTCAGTTCCTCCATTTACAAACATACTTAATGAATTCACTGCTAGACCCATTCAAATCTACACCACTATTCACTTAAATAAAATTAAACATGATTGCCAATCTTCGCTATACAAAAGTCAAATCACATGCATGGTATTACTAGAGGGCTCCTTCAGCTCTCCTTATTCAGGTAAAGCTTACAGCAATATGAGTGAGAGTTCTGCAACAGCAATCAGTGCTGAATACTTCCTTATCGAAACAAGGGAAAGAATAGGACACTTTAACATAACCTGACAAGGTTTTTAAAGATGCAAGCTATCCAAAATCTAATTAATAAGATAAGGTGCATGGAATAAAGTTCAGGCTTGCTTACAGCTTTAGATCTGGACACAGCACATAAAAAATTTAGATACTGAATATCCACTAAACTGTGACAGTGACTCAATCATAGGTGACTGTGATTCAATCATAGATGCCTGACTGAAAGCCTATTTCTTCCAAGTGAACCCTTAGGCAGTCTCTAATTTTTTATTTCCAGATTAACAAAATTTCAATCCTGTAAAACCAAACATCATCAAGCGTATAAACACAATGCATGAGCTTCACTTTAGACATTAGCCAGTCTTGTCCCACAGTATATGGAATAGAAGTGTAAAGGAGGACCAACTATACTGTTATAGGATCAAATTCACACAAACACATTGTCCAGCAGCAATTTTAGCGTAATAAAAAAGAAAACATCCTTAAAATGTAACTAGTTTTAAAAAGCTAAATAATTGTACAAGTATTAATTTGAAGCAACTAATTTATAAATATTATTACATGGACAAAGTAAGGATTCAAGGAATTCAGATTACTCGTTCCTTTTTTGAGGGGTGATGGGGATGAAAAGATGTGCACAGAAATGAAATGCATGCCACCACAAAGTTTTACTAATCAGCTATCTTGCAGTAATACTGCAGTAACATAGCAGACAAATGAAATTCAACCCATCATTGTGGCCCAAGGCCATTAGCGGAGCCTGGTGGTCTTTGTTTTGATGCTATTATACATGGGCCATTGATTCCTGGGATCCAGCAGATCTCCGTACCTTTATAGTCTCTACAGTCCTCTTTCACAGTATTGAAGTATTACAGCAACCACAAGTTTGGCCATTCCTCTCAATTCAGAATGCGTATACGCATCCGCATCACAAGCTAAGTATTAATACTGTAGCTTAACATCTGCAACTACCTCTGTAATGTATTGACTTGATCTCGTATAGAAATTTGACAATAACCGAGGACGATACAGACAGTATGATATATGCACAGGTAGGTCCCAATTTAGCAGAAGCTTCTCAAGGTTAAAAATCTGTGCAAAAATGTTGTAACTTTACAGTACATTAAAATTGTAGTATGTAAAAGCCTACAAACCCTCCCAAAAGATTCAGTAAGGCTGTACTTACTTCTACACTAGAATATTTACACACTGAACACTTGAAAGGTTTTTCTAAAGTATGCTTGTAGCGCCTGTGTCGTGAAAGCTCACCACTGGTCACAAATGCCATATCACAGTCACTACATTTATAGGGTCTGGTCCCTGTAAGAATACACCGTTTCTTAGAATTTTATTTAACACCACAATGGTATGATTTGTCTGCCTTAAATCAACATGCACAATTTTTTAACAGAACCTTTTCTGAGATTCTGAATTTTTATATACAATAAATGTACACCATAAGTTTATTATAAACACAATTTATGGATTTGGTTCATATGGTTATATAGCAAAATGAAAACATTACAAAAAATTCTATTAGGCACGTAGGAATCAGACACAACTGAAGTCAATATTCAGTTTACAAAAATTTTTAGAATGGTATTTAACAAAATAAACGAATACATACACAGAGAGTTACTAACTACAGACCATGTCTTTTCAGCGTGGAACTCCAAATGAAATCGGAGAAATTTCTGAGCACAAAATGATCACAGAATACAGCTCTAAGACAAAGTCATTTGCCTGTTAATTAAATTTTGCAGACAATATGTAAAATGAAGTATTTTCACACGTTAGATACCTGTATGTACATTCACATGGTTATGCAGGAGAGTAGCTGTACGAAAAGCCTTAAGGCAGAGGTGACACACATGACGTTTCTCATCAGAATGGGTTTTCACATGACGATTAAGACTTGATAATCTGAGTGAGGTGAACGTGCACAAACCACAGTTGAAAACTTTCTCTCCTGTGGGAGCAAAGACATATTTAGATCGTATGAGCCACAAAATGACGACTTGACTTTTTCAAAAAATAGTACCAATTTCAATATAGTTCCTCTATGTTGTGTAAAACTACTTCATACTTCTACATAAAAGGACTTCAAAATACGTTAAAAAAAATCAAGCTGTCAGACAGAAATTACTGTATTATTTAAGACTTAAGTGATTTGCCCCAAAAATAGTGTCATGTGTTAGTGACACAGTTTAGAACCTAATCCCAGGAAACCTAACTCCTAGCCTAGCTCTCACCTCCAAGAGAGAATGAAACTTCCTCTCTTGAGAGCATCATTAAGACATGGTTCACCAAGGCACATACAACCTCTGCAACACATTTCTTGATGACAACTGTATAATTAGTACTAAGTAAGCTTGTTCAAAGATCTGGAAATGGCAGGTTAAGCTATTCTCAGCTTTCTGGTAGTCCTGAATCCATAAAGTGTATGTAAAAAATATCATGATGTAAAAGCCTCTTTAAAATTATTAGTTGAATTTGAGGAAAAAAAGATCAATTCCTTGAAGAAGTCACAGAATAAAGTTATGCTTTCTGGATTACATAACATTTCCAAGTTCATGGCACAGCAGTAATGAATTTCTTTTGAGCTTAACAAGTTAAGAGTAAATGTGCAACACTTTCAGTTTTGAAGAAGATTTGAAACTGTGAAATGGCAAATACGTCATATTTGAAGAGCCTTTCCAGAACAGTTGTCTCAGCTCCCAAGTGCACTCTCTGTAATGATTTTCATGCTGAGACCAAAATGTATCTTATACAATGCTTTATACCACACAGAGTTGTGCAGCTAACACTTCACTTCAATAACAGCAAACAAAAACACTTTATTGTTATTTATTCATTGTGGATTCATGCCCACACAAAAGAACATTGTTAGCTTTCTTAAAGCTGCTCAAATGTGCTTCCTATAAACGCAGTAACTAAACCAAGGGACATTAACAATTGGTACAATATCCATACTTTAAACAACCTCAGCCAAGATACCTTACTATCCAGATACTACGACACATACATTTACAGATTCTTCAACATTACTGATGTCATCCAACTTTTACAGTACAGACATACAGTTTCTAGGGAAACAGTTGCTTATCCATTCCTTTCTAAGTCAGTCCTTAACTTCTGCAACATACTTTTATGTTCCTAAAATCTTAAATCAGCCATTTTCTGTTACTTTTACTCTAGGTTCTGGGAGATATCTTGCTGACAGGCATTGATACTTGCCCACCACCCTCAGCCAGCAACTTGGAACCACTCTAAGCTCATCCATAAACCCCCGAACAAGCACATTTTGAAGCTGAATGACGGAACTAAGAAAGACTAAGTAAATTGTTAGGTTTATTCAGAGACATTTATATACATTATTAACTTTGAAATCTCCCTGGAGGTTTCAAATACCACATACTGTTCAAAAGACCATTAATTTCTAAATGTCATCCAAAATGTCTCTCCTGAACACAACACAGAGGACATCAGCCTGAACAAGTATCTTTTATCACGTAAGGCTGAAGGGTATTATTCCTCTTCCAAATTTCCACAGAATGTTAGATTTAACCTAATCTAAACTTAACAACACTGTGAATATTCAATAGAAAATTTCAATCTCACTTCAAAATCTAACTTAACGTATGTTATCTAAAAATGAACTACAAAGATAACTTTTTACCTTTTTCCCGATGCGGAGCACAAATCTGAAATTTTAGATTCTTGGGATTTCTTACAACTGTTTGTTCTGATGGAGTTGCATATTCCTGCTCTTTACCTTCATCGTATGAGTCTGACAAATCATCTTTGGCTTTGAAGCTCTGGCTCTTTGTTTCCCCAAGAGTGAAAAAAAGTTCCTTTCCTCCCCCCTCTTCAGACGAGGTCAGTTGCTGGTCCTTATTTTCAAATGCAATGACATCATTATCTCTGTCAACCTATTTAAAAAAGAAAATGTTTTACAACTTCCCTAATCAAAGGTAGTCGCTAGTGGCAAAACAACTGAGCTATCAACAAGATGCAAGCTACTAATTCATTTTCATTTTCAGCCTTAAATGTGATGGACAAAACTGCAACAAAAAATTTGCATTTAACATACAGCAGCCTAACTGGGAGGTGAACAATTACCAAAATTGAGCCCTAGCTCTTCAAAATTTTGCATAAAATTTCAGAGCAATATTTTAAGATTACAGCACTGAGAACATAGAACCTTATATCCTCATTTTTTTAAAACATTTTAAATTTAATCGCAGTACATTTACCTTTTAAAAGAAAATGACAAGAAAGTATGCTCTCAATTTTTTACCAAACTAATATAGGACTTTTGCAGCCTAATTGTAATGCTTAGATATTTTTCCTTGTCATACGGCAATTAACAAGGTTGTGATACTTTTTGCATTAGATAAATATGACCATACCTCAGAAATTATATAGGGTGGCACATGAGTTTTAAGAGAAAATAAATATTTTATTATAAAACCAATAGCTAGCACAGGATAAATACCAATGTTTGCATGTCCTTTTAATAAAATGCGTTTCAAATGAGACCATATTACACATCCAGCTTTAACAACGACTGCTCTATTGTACTAATGCAGGGGAAGAAGGGAAATTGTCTAATGCTACTTGAGAGATCTGGGCTGTCAAACCAAATGGCACCAAACTGGCGAACTGAATTAAAAACTTGTCTGAACTTCAACAGATTATTCATCCAGAAAGGCTAAATTTTTAGTTTGCCTTTTTAAACATGGGATGGAATTATAAAAAGCTGTACAAAGGATTAGATACTTAAGTCCAACACATTTGAATGCCTAGAAAAAATAATATTAAAGTCAGAACCAAATCAGTGTGATAGTAAAAGCTAACAGCTAACATACTGCCATCTTCACCTCATCCAGAACTTGTACCTCAATCAGTAGCATGCCTGGTGGTTTCTCTGTTGGCTTGCTTTCTGAATTCGCTGCTTGCCCTTTTTCTTGCAAAATGTTAATCTGCGTCAGCCCTAAGTCATAAAAAACACAGGTACCTTCCCTCACACTTACAGCCATGCCTGCTGGCACGTTGTATTATCTGCTCTGCCCCTGCTGCACCACAGGCTGCACCACAACTGCCCCGGCCAGCGCCACTATCACCACGCTCTTCTGCGGGTGGGCAGTTATCTGGCAGACTCCCTCCAAGTCCTCTTCCTCTGCCTCTGCCTTCAGGCACACTGTCTGTAGTGTCAGCAAGTGTTTTTCACCCTCTTCAGGAGACAGGGACCACTCTGGGGGGACGCTTGCCCCCGTCTGCATGTTGAGTCCTGCACTGTGGTCACTGGCACTGCTCTTCTCCTTCACTCGGATTTTCCTGTCCCCGTCACGCTCTTCTCCTCTTCTGTCCTTGTTTTTTTCCCCACCCACCGATTTTGGTGAAAGGCTCCAGCAGCCGTAAGGCCAGGTATGCTGCTGAGTGAACCTGTTCAAAAGGCAAGGTTAAAAACGAGGGCAAATCACAGCTTTCAGGACAACCCCCTGGCCCTGTCTGGTGCTCCAGCCCTTGAACCACCTTGCTGGCCTGCTCGCCCGCAGACCTCCTGCACACTGACCACCACAGCACGCCTGCCACCCCCTGCGCCCCCCGCCACCTC